GGGCAGGTGGGTGGTTGGCGGGTGCTCTGCTGTCGTTTGCTCTGTCTTTCCTATGAAACACCTATCGTCCTTGTCTCTCCTTTTTTTCTTCGTACGTTACTCTCTAATAACACTTATTAAACACTCTTAAATACACACCATCCAGCACGACGTGCCTACATCCAAAAATTCGATGGCAACAAGGCTAGAGGGCGACCGAGAAAGACCTGGATAGATGGAGTCAGGGAAACATTAACTACCCACGGCATCAACCTGACCCAAGCTCTCCGGCTGGCGACAGAGAGACGTCTCTTTCTTCCCGCGACATCCAAAAGGGTATAAGCGGCAGATAAAAGTAAAAGTAAAATAAATACTCTTCGGCCCTTAAATTAAAACTTATTTGTGCTGTTAGTGCCGTAAAACTCGTACCAAACTACACTTTAGTTTTTTTGTAAGAGTTTTACGGCACTTGCAACACAATAAGGTCATATAAGTGCTGAAGAATCGAGGTGTTACAAGAGAGTAACAAAACATACAAAAGAAGGAGGAGAGATGAAGACAATAAATGTTTGAAAGGAAAGAAGGAGCAAACCACACCAGAGCACCCGTCCTCTACTTCTTTTGTATGTTTGTCACACTCGTACGACCCTCTATTTCCGGGGTGCCTTGATAGTCGAAGCAGACTTTGTGCTGTTGAAGCTAGAGAGTTGAGCAGAGTAAGCCTGATTCCCTGTGTGGACTTCTCTGTTGACATCCACCCATTGGCGTTCATATGACCGTATGCAGTTGTGAGCGCCGTAAAAACTCTACTTAAACTATTTTTTTTAAACAGCAGAGACGCCGGACAAACGACTGTGGGCAAAACCCAACGAGCTGGTCGCCGTACACAAACTCATAAAACTACTGTAGATGTGTTCCGTTCGGACACACAAGGGCTATTTTACAAGTTCACACAGAGAGCGGAAAGGTGAAAAAAAATACAATAGATCTACATAGTGCTACCTAGCTCCGGCACCCTCCAGCCAGGCTTCTGGTTATTGGTGTTTGATGGTGCTAAATGTGCCACTACACTGCCTGTGGGTCGCTGTCGGACATTGTGTGTGTGTGTGATTGTGTGTGTGTGAGTGTGTGTGTGTGTGTGTGTGTGTGTGTGTGTGTGTGT